AAGTTAGTAAAAAAATAAATCCGCCTCAACAATATAGAACTTATCTAAAACTTACTTGTTGCGCTTCCTCTAGAATTTTTACAAGTTCAGCAGCTTGTGCCCAATCACTCTTTGTGACATAGCTGATGCTCTCGCCAGTTTTGCCAGCTCTGCCTGTTCGCCCCACCCTGTGGACGTATTCCTCGATGTTTTTGGGAAAGTCGTAGTTCAGAACGTGCCTGTCGAAATAGACTCGGTTAACTTGGAATTTCCCCGCAATAACCCGGACTTACGTAATATCGTCAATGTCCAGGCCTCTGGACGCGACATCAGTGGCAATCAAGATCCTCACAGTGCCGTCTCCGATGTCCTGCACTGCTTGCTCCCTATCACTCTGGTCCCGATTTCCATGCAAAGAAGCGCAGATGATATTCTTACAAACACATTCCACAGAAAGGTAGTCCGCCTTGGCTTTGGTGCCGCAAAACACGATCACCTTGTCGTCTGGACCCATGTTGTAGATGAAATCCATGAAAGCTTGCTCTTTGTCGTTTTCCTCGATTAGTTGGATCGTTTGAGTGACACTGTGCGTAGCCGCCAAGTCCAAAGAACCCACATATATTTGAATTGGGTCTTTCATGTAGGAGTCCGCTAAGCGTCTGACGCCCGGCGGCCAAGTTGCGCTTGTCATTATGCATTGTTTCGTTGGTCGGAGCGAGTACATTACTTTGCGAATTTGCGGTTCAAAGCCCATGTCCAGCATGCGATCTGCTTCGTCTAGGACTACGTATGTTACTGACCGGACATTCAAATGACCTGCAACAGAACCCTATTTAAGATCGGGGCCGAAAGAGGAATTTGCCGAAGGCTTACCGGCTTGATTGAGATCATTCATCCTTCCGGGAGTTGCAATGACAATGTCCACTCCGCGACTCACGACGTCTATCTGTTCTTTGCGTGCTCCTCCTCCATATACACACACGCTATGTCGAAAATATTATTAATTCGTTACTGCAGGACATACTAGCAAAGACTTACGATGAGATGTTCCGATAGAAGTATTTCTTCACCTCCTTGTCGATCTGAAGGGCCAGTTCCCTCGTGGGGGCCATAATTAATACTGCAGGTCCCCCCCGTTCCTCTCGAGGAACGGTTTGGCCGTCAATGTGAATGAGGGCCGGGAGCAGGAAACCCAGTGTTTTTCCTGTTCCGGTTTGGGCGATCCCAATAAGATCTTCTCCGGACAGCAGCACTGGCCAACACTGGCTCTGAATGGGCGATGGTTTTTCAAAGCCTGCCTTCCGTATTTCATCGAGTATTTCTGGATAATTATGAAAGGCATGCTCGAAAGTTTTCACGGGTTTCGGCACAGGTCGGCTGTTCTCCGTTTGGAAAGTCCGATCGACAACAATGTTATTGTTCTCCAGTCTGAAAGCTTCGACTTCCTCCTCGGTCATGGCGGTGACTTCGGGATGTTCCTGGTAGAAGTTCTTGATGATCGGCGGAAGGGCGTTCCATTCAGCTTCAATTCTCGCATCACATTCCTTCAAGTAGTCGTAGAAACTCGTAGTTTTGGAATCCCATTCCTGCACCGATTGGGCGGGTTCCTTCGGAGTCTCATAAACCGGCGTGGGAGGAGCACGCGGTGCTTTGTCAACAGTCAATTCATCAATAAGTTCTTTGGCCTTTTGAATAGCGGAATCATCGCCGAAGATTTTGATGAAGGTCTCATCGCCTTCAGTATCTTTGGTGACTTTGATTCGGGACGAAGAGCGCGTTTGCAAGTCAGTGATTTGCGAACCACCTCTGCCTAAGAAGATGTTGAACGTTAGTTGACTATAACTTCCAGGGAAATAATCATGTCCCCTTACCGATAATTTTGCCCACAAATCTCGAAGGAACTTTGATGGTCTCGCATTTGTCATTGCCGCCGTTCCGTTTAGCTCCGCCGTTCCAGCGCGATCCATTTCCACTGAAGTTTCCTGTATTATTCCAATCGCTGCCTCCACGTGCTTCATTGCGTGGATTATTTGTCCAATTGCCACCATTGTCGTTGCCCCAGGCGCCGTCTTGGCCCCAGTTATTTGCTCTGGAGGCTTTTCGGTTGGAATTTGTGAACGTTTGCGTATTGCTGTTGCCCCAAGCTGTTGAGTGAATTGAATTGTTTAAATTCCGGAGCCAGAATTTGTTTTTTTTATGTTTTGTCTTCTCACGCAAGATGGTAAAAACGCAGAAAAGCAATCAACATTGGCACATGCGATTAACGATGAACATGCGGGCTAGCAGACCAATGAACGATTACTAAAAAGAACTGTTCATTAAACTGACTAGATCGTCATGTATTTTCATACAACAGATGCAATAAAGAAAAGCTGTCGAATGCTACTGAACATGATTTTCTTCATCTTCAACACGTGCTAAAACGAAGGTTCGCCAGAGAAGTGAAAACGATTTAAGAAGCACTTCCAAGAACATCTTACATACGATGTTCTTACAATAGACAGTTGAGAGTCTGAATGAAAAACAATTCCCTGTTGATTTGGTATTGAATTGAACCCATAATCAAGCTGATAGATGCAATAGAATCCTCATAATTAACAAAATTACTTACAATGTGCGGCTTGTACAGGCTGCGTAGGCTTTGGAGGAGCATCCCAACTGGCATCCCAATCATCCGTATCCATGTTAAAGCGTAAAAGAATTGGAAAAACTACTTTAAGACAGTTTTCAGAACACGACCAAAACACCGACGTAACGAAAATGCCAAGAACAGAAATGGACTGATTGATCGTATGTCATTTATACAAAATGCCGGTTAGGGTTTTTCGTTTACCAGGCTGGCCAATTAGGTATTTCATCAAGGATGGTAAGCCTGACTAGTTTGAAAGTTCGCCACCCTGATCTGTGATCACAAAAACAGTCACAAATGAAACATGTCTGATAGTCTGCGGGTGTAAACAAGTAAAGTTTATCGAAAAGTGTATTCTAATGGATTTGCACGGAAATGATCGACGAATGGTCAGAGTCAAATGGCTATATTCGAACGGGAAATTAGTACCAAGGTGTTGTTAGATGATACCGAACCGATCAGTTGTCACATCGAGAATTGGCAGAACATTAATGGGCATACAGTAAGTATTGAGCAATTTCCCAATTAGTCTTTGTTGGTTCATTAGTTATTTAAAGGGGCGTATCTCAGGCTTCGGTATCTTCAAGTGCTTTCAATCGAGCTCAATCTGTGCTTCCCCAACATCCCATACAGGAAATTGATATAGATCTTCAATGGCATATCCATGTTATTTTGGCAATTCTTAGAGGGGCTGAGCCCTGGGTGTTTGAAGTTCAAATTTGCAAATAGAACCATTTGACATACGATTCTGGCGTGTTTGTGCGAGCCTAAAAAATAATTACAATATCCAATATTTTATTAGAAAATCAGTAAAACTGACAATTTTGAAAGCAGCAGTATGACGATCAGGGCAAATTAAATATATTGCAGAAGACTTATTTATATGTGCTGTTTGATCACGTAGTTCGGTGGTTCTCAAAATCTTTTGACTCACGGATCTCATTTAATAGGCAATACTTTCTTACACATCTAAATAACTACATAAATGCGTAAAAGGAAAATTCAAAATTTAACTTTGGTGTTTTGATTGTTAAATCAAAAGGTGACGTAAAAATCACATATAAATAAATAAAATAAAAATACAAGCTTGGTTTTTAGTTCACTTCGACATCTGATTTGGTCCTACTGGACAGTTTTTGTACCATTCTCCAATTTGGATTGACTGTGTGAAAAAGTCTTTGAGATGTTGTGTCTCCTTGATGTTCTTTAAGTTTCAAAAATAATTTCCACGTTGGATTGTTTTTGATCAACTATTTGGGATCAACATCCTTTCTAGCGGTCCCTTGTGTGTTTTTTGCAAATACAGGATAGTAACGCTATGGATGAGTAAATGGAAATAATCTCAATACTTTTGCGGAAATATTAAATCGGTGAAACCCAAATGCAAACCATGCCATTGGCTGATAGGAAAATAATTTACAGGAATTCGTAATTAGAGTACATCGAGGTCCATTTTCCGACCAAACTTGGAAGGTCTACAAGCGCTACAATGACTTCCTCAAGCTGCATCAGATGCTGCAAGTGTCCCGAATCCCGCTCGAATTACCCCCTAAAAAGCTCATTGGCAATTTGGATCCTCAATTTATCAGCGAACGCCAGCAAGGCCTGCAGGTACTCATATGGAACATTCCCGCCGCCCCTGAATATATTCACGTTTTTTTTTCTTGACAGAAATATTTAAACAGCGTTCTTATGAATCCCATATTGGTTTCGTCGTTACCCGCGCGGTCTTTTATAGATCCGGCCAACTATTGTCAACCGTTTGGAGGTAAGAGTGCGCGTTTACTTTAAACATTTATTCTTGGTTTAATTTGGTTTTTTATTGTATAGAAATAGCTCTGCAGCATGTATCGTTAGTCCTGAGAGGAGAGTTTGGCTGGGAAGTTGTGGGCCCGTTGGTGGAAATTGGCTGGCGACTTCGCAAGCACTTCTACACGATCAAGTGCAAATCGAGAGCCAAAGACGATCTGATAGGGAGTTGGACGGATTATGGCCCGGATAAGTACTTGGACGATAAGGACATGCATTCGGTGTTCAAGAGCTTGCATCAAATCAAGGCAAGCGTTAGCACAAACTATTCAGTTCAAGTCTAATGTTCGTTTTTCGTGGATTTAGCATCCATACATTGATCACATTGACTTGTGTCTTTGCACGGACATCGGAGGCCTAGTAGTGAGAGATATGAATAAGAACGGTTCATTGCGCGATCTGTTGTGCGGCGCTAAACCAAAATTGTCTTTTTTGAAAAAGTACGGAAACCCCAAAGGCCATAAGCTGCTAACGACTGATGATATTGCGCTCTATGGAAGGCAGATACTGGAGGCGTTGAAGTTTCTACATGAAAAAGGCTTTCCATATGGTAAGTGAACTGTTACATTAGTCGAAAAGCAACCTGTACACTGAAAACACATTGGGGAATGATTCGATGCAAGTGAAATAGGGAAAAGTTGGGACTAACTCGTCTTGGAGCAACCTACGGGGTGAGGTTTTTTCGGAGATGAGCCCTTCTTTCACCATGAATTTGGATTTCACCAGCAGTTTAGGAAAAGTCTTCGCTAGAGCATTATTTTCCTCCTCTTATAATTAGTTCTATTAACAAAATTACATTAATATTATTCGCAGGCCATCTGCACAGTGGAAACATTCTAATCGAGAACGACCGAGTCAAACTGATAGATATAGAAAATGGGGTGTTGGGCGTGCCATCTTACTACCGGCCATATTTCATGCAGCACAAGAAAATAAGCACACTGGAGGCAATAGACGTGTACTGTTTCGGTCACGTTCTCTACGAAATGGCCATCGGATCGCCTTTGCACGAAAGCTACATCGGGGAAGAAATATCCGAGTGTCCTCAGCAAATTAGTAAGCTGTCCATTTCTCAAATAATTTCTTTATCAATTAACGAAGTGGCTTTGCATTTCAGAAAAAATCTTAGAGTCGGTTTTGTCGCATGAGGCTTGCAAAAACGGCCTGCCCACCATTGACGGTCTGCTGGACGATCCGTTTTTCGCTCGAGTTCAGTTACATTTGACCGATGGCGATCGCGCACATTTTAAAATTCCCTCCTCGGTCAAAGAGCATCTGAAGACCGTAGTGGTTAAGATTGAGGATCGGCTCAAAGGTGAGCAGAAAGTGGTGCGAAGCCAGAAACGACTCACCAAAGTCCAGGAGATGATGAGCAGCGAGGAGGAGAGAAAGAAGCACCGAAATCGAATGGTAGTGGAAGTGCAGCGGAAGTATTTTTAGATAATTGACGGTGTTGTTTCCAGAAGCAGCTGAAAGAGCAGAAGAGCAAAGATGGATCAATGAAAAAGAACGGAAATTATTTGGACCGGTGCGACAGCGTTAATAGTAGCGCGGCAACGTCTGTCGGTACTGCTACTCCACCCCCAGCAGGTGCGTGATATTTTCTTAAAAAATCTTCAGATCTTTGCACACTGTCTTCAGCAGGTCCCACGGTACCACCTCCTCCGCCACCACCGGCTCCATCAATCGCTCCAAACATACCGCCGCCTCCTCTATCTCTTCAAGCTGTGATTTCTAATGGAAGTACAGGTAACAGCAGCAGTTCAACCAAAGATAGATCAGCTCTTCTAGGGGCTATCACCAGTTTCGATAAAGCAGCATTGAAGAAGGTTCCAGCAGCCGCCGGTAATCCGCATTCCTAAAGTCTTGACCAATCAGAGGGTTATTAAATATATGTAATATAGAGCGAGTTTCGACTGATAGTCGAACCGCATATAGATAGCCGTTCTGAGCGAGTTTTGCGCTGTTGGATCAACTGATGTGATGGAATTCTTCTATCGAAGTAACATCTTATGCAAACTGTAAATACTTTGGGGCCATATCTTTAACCCAGTCCGGGTTTCTATGTAATCAGCTAGGTCAGTGTCTATATTGTAGTCCCAAATCGAGCATTTCTTTAGATAATTACAATAAATGTAAATTTAAAAAATTAATGTTCCTTTACGGTGTGTCATATTATGAATCTTCGTACTTTCGTGTTTCACTTGCAAATTTCTCGTGCCAATTCTTCAGGGGCATTTAGATAGAAAGGGGTTACTGCTCGTTGACTATTGAACTTGTTGGCCTTTATAAATGTTTCTAATGTTAGCTTTATTTCAGTCATAAATCGCTGCGGATTAATTACATAATATTTACTTAGACTGCATTTTAGCTCGAGTTTTACATTTTCTCTCACATGAATGAGTGACTCGCTTTTACAAAATATCGTATCATCAAGACCGTAAGTCTTCAATATGCCCCTTAGAACACATTATTTGATCGTTTAAAGCGTTACAGCGCCATATTGAGTTGCACGACGGCGGGCTTTGTAAAGCTTTTTCAATATTCAATTCAATATTATCGCGCTATACGAATGGTACAGCCTGTATTCGTTTTACTTACTTATATTTGCTTTGTTATAAAGTGAAAAAATGAAGGTTACACAATTTTGCTTTTGATTAGCTGAGATTGTTTCTCAATTTTTATGTCTCCGTTTGTAAGAGGTTTTATTTGAATGTGTACTCATAGTTAACTAGAGTGATCATTTTCCTGGAAATATCGAAATAATAATTTCATAAAAACATATATTTTTGTCAAATGAATCTTAAAATCTAATAGTAAGGTTCGCTAGTCAGTCTTACATTGAAAATTAATCGATTTCAATGTAGTGATGAGCAAGTAAGCAAAGTGATGTTCTGCACGTGAGATCTTATTTCCTAATTTCTATACTATTAATACTATTGATTGGGAACATCCTCAATAATAACAGATATATGCCAAAATAAAGTTTAATCCTAAGTTCTTCCCGTTTTTCACATGGGTCCCCGCCCCCGCTCTGCTTAATCAAGTGTTAATATCGAAATTACTTTATGTAATGCGGCACATAACATGTTTAAGGTCGTTTCAACGCACTCATTCTTCTTATGTATTGTCATTTCCTTCAATGGTTCCTCATAGAGCAACTTTTCTAGTCAACTATGTAAGACTAAACTGCACTGAATTCCTATTTCTTGGATTCGTGCATCTTAATTTATAAAATAAACCATCATTATGCACTTTTAGCCATAATTCCAACAAACTCCACAACAACCCACCGAACATAAAACAAATAGTTACGACAACATGTATTTTTTAAACAGATAATAACAGATGGATTGATATTTCGCATGTTTTTGAGCTGTATACCATTCAAAAACTTACATTAGTACATAACATGCTTTAGGCAAGTAATGTTGTGTAGAATGAAAAATTTTAGTCACCGTTAATAAATGTTTGCTTTCCCTAAACAGGAACGTATGTAGAGCTCATAAATAATGACAATAATTAATAACATCCACAGCAACTTCAAGTTCTCCGCAATTCTTGGTCAGTTTTTTGTCAGTTCAGTCAGTCATCAAGATGGTTAAATAAATATCTGACTATTCTGAAAAAGAAATACATATTTTCAAATCCGGATTATACGTTTTATTGTGTTGGGGGTACAAAGAACAACTCCAATAAATCAGTTTATCAGCTGTTGAGCGTCACAGAATACATACCGTGGTTTTTTTCTTTCGTCACATTCTGAAACAGTGGATTCAGACGACTCGCTATTCTGAAATAAATAGAACAAAACATGAGAGAAATGTTCGGCCGTACGTTGAGTACGAGTATGGTGTGAGCACAAGAAACTAAAAAAAACTCGAATTACTCACCCCGTCCAACGATTGTGAGCCGTTCGATTTGTTGCGGTTTTGGCAGACAGACTCTGAACATTTGCAGTCGATACTGCAGCTTGCGCCTAGTTTCTTGCATTTACATTTTTTTGTGTTGCACGATTTACATGTACAACCTCCTTCTAACGATCTCTTTATTGCTCCCGTCACTCGTGTTTCTGAAAAAATCACAAATTATTTACACTCTTTCGGCCACACCGACAGACAACCAATCCGTACCATCTGAAGCCGTTAGAAAAGATTGTTTTCCTTTGTTTCGTTGCTTGGTCATCGCAATTATTCTCTTCGCTAGTGGGGTTTTTCGCCAATCAGGATCCTTTTCGGTGTCGTCTGGCGGTAAGTCCAGTGAATCGTCCAAAGTCTGATACAGTGATAGAAGTTAAATTGTGTTGACAAAACAACTATTCGGTATGTTCTTACAAAATCTGCTCGTGCAGCCCTAAGCGAATTTATTCGTTTGGACTCGCCTTCAGAAGCGTTATCGCTTTTCTTTTGTGTTTTGACCTTGGAACTGTTTGCTGTCTCCTACAATACAATAACATTTTGATGTCTGGTTTTACAGAAAAATTGCATAGATAGAATGGGTGTATCTTCACCTGAATTTCTTTGATGCTCTGTTGGAGTTGATCATTTTTGGCGGTTAGTTCTGCAATGATACGATCCTGACCCTCCACTTGCTGGCTGAGGAGTTTGCACCTGGTGGCTAGCTCTGAGTCGAGATTTTCAGCTATACAGAGAAAAAGCGCGTTAAATTTTCTTATTTGCTCGTTGCATGTAAACTTCAACCTACATTCACTTGGGACGCCCATCTTTAGCACAGTTCCCATGTTCTCGTGATGGGCCTTTTCTAAGTTGGCTATTTCTACTGCATGCCTTTCCTCCATTCGTCGGTACTCGCGTTCAGTAAGTTCAAATTTTTCACGTAACTGCAAAAAAATGGTATAAGTGGCTCAACGAATTATTCTAATTAAGTTAGTTACTTCTTTATAGGAATATGCGAGTTCCGACAGTTCCCGTTTGGCCTCAACCTCTTTCCGGTTGTATTCTGCCGCTTGATCGAAAAGCGAACGCAATGCGTGTCTGGCTTCCACCATGGTTTGGAGAGCCTCGAATCTGGTTTTCCATTTTTTTTCTGAAATTACGGCCAGCTGTCGAATGTGGTTTCTACAGATAACTGCTAAATTACCTTCATCTGCATTGAGCAGTTGTTGTTGCAAATCCTGGATCTGAAACGAGCGAAGCTCTAAGTCCTCTTCAATGCTTTTGAGTGCGGCATTATTAGGCTCAGAACTATTCCTCAGTTCATCGAGTTGTTCTTGTAATGTGGCCCGATCTTCCAGCAATCCGGCTAAAGTAACTTCAGCTTCAGCTAAGTTGACAAACATTTCCATTTCTTCTTTTAACTAGCAAATATCCAAGTAATGGAATTAGATTGTAAATAATTCACTCTTAGATGCCTTACCCATGAAGTAATTTTCTCAACTTTTCCGTTAAATTTAGTGCTTTGGGCCTCCTTCCGCTTCATTAGCGTGTTTTGAAGTCTCTTATTCAAAGCGGCAGCTTCTTCGAATTTGCGTTTGAGAAAGTTCTGCTGCCTTTCATGCGCAACTTTCATTTTACTGATTTGAGTTTGTTTTTTCCAGTCCTGCTGCTTAACTCGAGCCAGTTCGCGTTCCGCGGTCTGCTTCCAAGTTCTAAAGCGATCGTTCTCCAGCCGCATCTGCTTTAATAGCTTTACTTTTGCCGTCTTCATGTTCACAATGTCATTGTTCAGCTGCTTCAATTTGATGTCATTACGCTCCTTAATTTGCAGCATCTTTGACTGCTCCAGATTTTTCTTCTTCAAACCCTTAAGCTGTTCTTCTAGCTCCTGGACCCGTTTTCTGCGCTGTTCTGCAATTTTATTCGATATTTCCTGAACTTTAATATCGCGCAGCTGTTGCAGTAATTCATTCTTTTCTTTTTCTAGTGTGTCGATCTTTTTCTCCGTTTCCTTAATAACTTGACGATCAATTATGTAGTTGCTGTTTATGGCCAATTGTTTAGCTAGTTGTTCCTTCAGGGCCAATTGACTGGAGACTTCTTGCAATTCCGAATGCAGAGCCAGCTGTCTATCGGTATGTACATCCTGCTTTTCTCGAATTTCTTTTGGTACACTTTCTGCGGATGTTCGAGCAGTGTGGACAAGAATAGTGAATGTTTCTTCGTGCGTGCTAGAATAAATACGATACTTAATATACAATTGCTGATAAATGCGTCAAAAAATCTGTATCATTATATTTACCGTATTTCTCCTTCAGTCTTCTTTTGATCATTTTCAATCATCTCAAATTGGCCTTGAATATGCTGCAGTTTTTTTAGGTTTTCCTTCACCGATTCAAAGTCCTGGGTTTCCACGCCTGAGCTGATCTGCCCAAGCGTTTCATTGTAATTTTCCTTGATCTCGATAAGCTTATTGTTGAGCACTTCATTTGCATTTTGCAGTATCAGTAGTTTTTCATGCAAGCCAGTTTTGTCGACCAAAACAATCGTCAATTGATCCCGCAACTCCTTGATTTTTAACTGAAGCGAACAGTTTTCAGCCCGTAGTCTGTCGATGTCCGATGAAGACATAATTATATCACCTATAAGAAAAAATTCTTTGTAAAATAAATCATTCACTTTGATCGTGAATGGATTGTTTTATTATCATTATTATAATGTTATATACTATACTATTGATATATTATTTGCTATACTTGTTTTAGGAAGATAAGGAAAAAATGTTTTAATTGATAACATGGAAATCACGTAGATTAAGATCAAATGTTGTTCAAACTTCATTAAATAAAATGCCTGCAATCTACCTTGTCCAGCCATCTGCAATTGTAGTAACTTCAGCTGCCTTTTCAGCTCGTTGATTTCCGCCGTTTTGGGGTCTTGATTAACGGTCGGTTTGTTCTTGATTTTGCGGGCTCTGTCCGCATATCTCAGGGTTGATATCGTTTCTTCCAGATTGTAATCCGCTGGGCTAATACATGCGATCATCAACGTGACACTGTTGCCGCCCAAAGAATCTAAAACGTTTTCATTTTCACACAATTGAACGAAATTAATTTTTCAATCGCAATTGCAATACCTTTAAGAAGCCTTGTTAGATTACTATCCCTGTAGGGTATGTATCCGTTCTGAGTTTTCTCGTCTCCAAGGGCGCTTATCACGTTGCCCAGTACAAACAGGCCTTTGTTAATGTCCACTCCTTCTTTAAACGTTTTGCCTTCGGCCCCAGTCTTTTTCGATCTCTCTGAACCTGCCAGATCTACTAGGTGCAATTTGGAAGATTTGCTTAAATACCTGAAATTTTAGGAAAAGCCGCTTGAGGCAATCAAATCTTGCACTTGAATTTAGCAACTTACGCGTCGCTCTTATTAGCCATGTCTATGCTTATGGTGAAAATTGAGTGGCTTCTGGAGCTCTGCTCGTTCATATTGGTGGAGGCAGTGGCTCGTCCTAAAGAGCCTTTGGCCAATATACTTAGTACATCTTCAACTGAATGCACCAGCACTTCGGTCGCATTGGGAATATGAATTCCTGATAAATTGCCATAAATAGTTAGAGGTTCAGATCGAGAGACGCTAAATGGATTAATACGCACCCTTGGCGATATCTTCCCTAATTTCCAGGGTGCATTGATCTCGCGGCTTATTGGCCAGCAAGTCATAGAGCATTTCGCGATAGAGCTCAATGAATGACACCGTGATGGTAAAATCGGTGCTAAAATTGTCACGAACATGTTGGAAGAGATCCCGCACTGCTCTGGGAATAACACCCATAGTGCCGCTGCCAGTATAGGCTGTGCCCATTGAGTAAGTTTTTCCAGAGCCAGTTTGCCCATACGCAAAAATTGTTACATTGAAACCTGAAATTGCGGATTTTTCCAGGTTTGTTCAATTTCAAGCAAAAGAAGAGAGTCACATTTAGGAATGTTTTCCGGGCTTTAAAGCCGTGGTCTATGGGAATTTCTTCCTGACGTTTCGTCCACAACTGCGGTGGACATTATCAAAGGCGATGAGGCAGTGCGCGAAGTGATCTCCCGTGCTTTCCGACTAAGACTGTCGTATTTATGCGGCCACAGGGGATCCAGTAGTTGAACCAGTCTTAGTCGGAAAGCACGGGAGATCAC